TCTTCGAAAAAGCTATTTTCAGGCCTGCCATAATTACAGACCGTCTGCGCCGTTTTGCTATGGCGTAGCAAGAGGAATGTGTGCCAAATTCCTCGCGGCGGAATCTCTCGAAAACTCGCGACCCCGTAAGGTCTCTCCCGTATAAATCTCGTAGGGGGAAGAAGAATAGCGAAGGAAGGTGGATGGTTGGAAATCTCCGAGGAACGAACCCGGCTGGAGTTTATCTAACCGACCAGAGGTCTGGTCCACGTAGAAATTTATCGGATTTATCCGCGTCGGGACTTTTTCTCCTCGGTTCAGCTTCGGGGATATTTGAAAGAGTTACGAGGCTAAACGAATGCAAACAGCCTGTGGGACAACGTTAGCTTCTTTCGACTCGTTCTTAAACCACGTTGCGAGGCTGATAGCTTTCTCGCCTGTCCGGCTGTCTATTATATTATACTATTAGGGTTACAGTAAATCGTTGGATTAGCCGTTCTTAAACGATACCAACTCTCGCGTTTTTCAAGCGTTAGGACACTTACGGTGTATCGAGCGAATCTAAACAGTCGTTACAAAATTATTACGATCCTTGGGAGAGAAGTATTCTGTTCGGAATCTCGGAGTATAGTGAATGTATGTAATATTTTTATCAGGGAGATGTTTTGAGTGTGAGAGGTAAACGGACCACCCTGCATATAAATATTGCACGGTTTCACAGATTAAAAGTAAGAAATGTGCTGTACAAATGTGGGATTGTAAAAATGAATTTTTCAAATATTATGAAAATACGATAGAAGAGTAAAATAGTTAGAAGAGTAAAATCACTGTCATGTCCTTTAAATTTCTGTTTTTCTACACTGAAATTCTAGTAAACCACGTCCGCCTTATTTTTATTCGAAGAACGTCGATAAAATTGAAACGGAAGAACTTCTATTGGCCGTTCAGGGTGTTCCATAAAATATACCGCGTAATTTTTAATTCTTCAAATGTGAATGTTTTTCTGAAAGAAGAACGAACATCATCTTGAACGTAATCCCTCAAATTGCAGCCTTTGGAGTACTGTCGTAAATCTACCGGGCGATTTAGAATACCGCGAAGATTCGTCGTGAGTATCAGAGGAACGTGGTATATACTACAGCCGTGGCTGTATGCAGTGCAA